ATAGGCTTTGCACACTCTGAGTCACTCTTTCTTCGTAAGGAAAGGATGAGAATATAGCCCTCTTGAAGATGAGGATATTAAAAATAAATATTTTTTTAAATGCCAGTATGATACAGCACTTTGCTGGTATTTAATAAATGGTATCCACTCTAAGAAAAGGAGACCTGGTGCCACAAGAGTCAGGCAATTGGTTGTTAACTGAAAGGTTAGCAGCTCAAACCCACCAGCCACTCTACCTGGAGATCAGCTGCCATGGGGATTTCAGCCTAGGAAACTCCATAGGACAGCTCTATTCTATACTATAGGGTGCCTATGAATTGGGATTAATTGGAGAGCACACACCACTCTAAGAAATACAGCCAGAATGTTCCCTAGAAGTAAGGATGGTGAGGCTCTGATTCACTTACTGTAGACACATCATCAAGAAAAACCAAATTGCTAGGAAAGGACATCATGATTGGTCAGTGAAAACAGGGAACCCTCAGTGAGATGGAGTGACATCATAGCACAGCAGTGTCTCAAAAACTGATCCTGAAGATGGCACAGGGTCAGACCACATTTTCTCCTGTTGAATATGACTTGGAGTCAACTTACTGGCAACTAACAATAGTGCTAAGTAATTACTACTATAACCATGACGTGGTGGAATCAAGGCAGGAATGAAAATGCTCCAACTCCAAGTCTGCTGAAACACAGGTGTCCTTTGCCAGTGAGGCACCATGGAGATTCAGTTACACCTGCCAGGAAAACTTCCTTCCAGGAAGCAAACTCAACTGTTCTCAACAGCCCACCACCATCCTTACTTCAGATTTGCTTCACATTTGCTGAGCTAAGAGCCCATCTTACATACCATTAGAGAGATTGTAGAAGGAACACAGTTTGGTCACAGAGAAAAATAATAATACAGAGGATTGAAGAATTTAACACATGTTGATCTAGGTCCTCTGAGAAGCAGATGCCAAGATAGGACTCAATGTGCAAGCATGTATTTTCTCTGTGGGAGGCAATAGGGAGAGAGCTACCTGAGGCTGGAAATGTCATCTGACGATATTGCAGATCTGACCACATGTGAATGAAAGAGAGGAAAAGTAGACAGCTATGTCTCAGACTGAGTGCAGCCTAAGGAAGGTTCAGCAAGGCCATCTGGAAATCCTCGAGCCAAAATCAACTAGCTGTCAGAAGCCAGGAATGAACCTGCCTTCATGTCCCTGCCAGACCTGTCCCTAGCATGTGACTTCAGTACAAAAGCAGTCATGAACTTCAGCAGCTAAGGCCATGGTAAATTATACCCTGGTACTAGAAGATCTACAAGACACGTTCTCATGGCAGCCATTTTTTGTAAGAAATTTTGCCCAAGGCAGCGTATGATTCAGATGAGTGTCTATATAAATAAATAAATTGTAGCCATACATTCCTTTCTGTCTACATACACACCTTTTTGGAATATGGTTTTGCCATTCTACTCATGAAGAAGTAGAGTATCTTCCTATCCCTTGAAACTGGGCTTCACATGTGGAGTAAAGAATTTAACTTTACCCCAAGAATTCAGTCATTGCCCCTGGTTCCTGAGAGAGTCTTTAAAACCTGGGAATTCCCCCCAGAGATTGAAGTTTGAAGTGCATTTTTATCTAAGAGGGTTCCAGGCCCAAAAGATTTTACTAAGGAGGTGACCCGCTTGATACCAGAGAGACCCACTATGATATCAGCCAATCTCAGGGGAGGAAAGCCTGAGTCCATCTATCGTGTCCATGTAATGAGGCCCCAGTGCTCTGGACGTGATGGCTCTTGATTGGTAGTAGACGTCGATGCCTGTGGGAAGGAAGCACATGCCTTTTGGGGACACGGGAAGACCATGCTGGTAACCCTTCTAGACTTTGTCCTATGCAGCTCTTCATTTATATTATTTTTGCTATAATAAAGATGTAATCCTAATTACAGGAGTTCTGTGAATTATCTAACCCAAGGGAGTAGTGGAACCAGCAGATCAGAAGTCAGGGGAATCTAGGAACCTCTGACTTTATGGTTGATGATTCTGAGAGAGTCCTGGAAATTCCCATATTTGTAGTCTACCAGTCAGAAGTGAGGGTGTAGTAGGACCCCCAAGCTTGTGGCTGACCTCTGACATCTCAGGCAGACTTGCAGTTTGTAGGACTGTGCCCTTTAACCTGTGAGCTCTGACTTAGCTCTGGGCCAGAAGAAGAGGTGCTCCATGTGTGGCTGGTGTCAGGACAGAAGTAGAGCAGAAGCGAACAGAATTGGTAATAAACTGATTGTTATTGATCAACACACTGGGTATCAGAGAAGTGGGATTTGATTGTCCTACCACTACCTGAATTGCTTAGGTCAATGGGATATTCACAAATGCAGCACAGCAGAAACTTGCAAAGTACTTGCATGTTGGACCTTATCTCCTCTTGCCACTTTTGAGTCCCTGTGATCTCCATGTGAAGAGCCCAAACCAACCTAATGGAGAATGAGAGACAACAGAAAGAGCAAACACCATTCCATCACCAGACATGTAAGTGAAGCCATCCTAGACCACTCAGATGAGTTACCAGTTGACCAGAGAGACCAGTCAAGCCACACTAACATCAAAAGAACTGCCAAATATTTCGGATATGTTATCAGGAGGAACCAGTCCCTGGAGAAGGACATCATGCTTGGTGAAGTGAAGGGAGAGAAAAAAAGAGGAAGACCAATCTAGGCAGCAGCAACAGGCTCAAGTATAACAACAATTGTGAGGATGGCACAGGACCAAGCAGTGTTTCATTTTGTTGTGAATAAGGGTTGTTACGAGTTGGAGCCAATTTGACGGAACTCTGGTAGCGTAGTGGTTACGAATTGGGCTACAAACTGCAAGGTCAGCAGTTCAAAACTATCAGCTGCTCTGTGGGAGAAAGATTAGGCTTTCTGCTCCTGTAAAGATTTACAGCCTCGGAAGCCCTGTTCAGGGTCGCTATGGGTTGGAACCGACTTGATGGCACTTAACAACAACAACAAGTGACGCTGTGTGTTAATGTGCCAGACTGCAAAGCCATTTGAAATGCAAGGTCAGCGGTTCAAGCTCACCAGCAACTCCTTGGAAACCCTATACAGGGTCTCTATGGGTTGAAACCAACTCGATGGCACTTAACAACAACAACAGCATTATGAGAAAAAGAGGTCCTGGTAGCACAATGGTTAAGCACTTGACTGCTAACTGAAAGGTCAGCAGTTCAAACCCATCAGCCCTATTCCACAGGAATAAAGACCTGACCGTCTGCCCCCATAAAGATTATAATCCAGGAAACTCTGTGTGGCAGTTCTACTCTTGCAGATAAGGTCAATGTGAGTTGGAATTATCTCAATGGTACAGAACAATAACATTGTGAAAAATAATAAATGCTCACTGTGTTAAGCCACTATGTTTGGGCCCGTTTGTTATGCAGCAGAAGGTAACTAACTTGATTTATGTCCTTTTTATAGATGGAGCAACTGAAGCCTGGAGGCATGATAAAAGCCCAACAATGTTGATGAGCTCCCTCAGTGGGACCAGAAGGCTCTAAATTTGGAGAGAGCTTTACTTATTTGAGTCATTTGCCTAGAATCTAGAGTCAATTGAGCTTGGTGGTAGTGATGGTTGTATGCTGTAGAGTTGGCTCCAACTCATAGTGACCCTATATAGGGTTTCCACGGGTGTAAATATTCATGGGAGCAGAAAGCCTCATTTTTCTCCCATGGCTAGTATATTTGAATTGCTGACCTTGAGGTTAGCAGCCCAACTCGTAACCCACCATGATACCCAGAGCTCCTTCAGTTGAGATTGGGGCCTACAAATGCAACCCTTAATAGACCTTTATTGAATGAATGCTACCAAGGTGTTAGAAGACCCTTCTGTAACATTAAACCCATTAGAGCACAGGTCAAGAAACCCCCAGTCTTCAAATTACAGGAGCTAAGGAGTATGGGGGTAATGGGATTTTCTCTAACCAGATTATAAACTCTTGAAGGCAGGGCTCAAATTTATATTTCTTTTATGCTTTTCTTCATTACTGTTCTAGTAGTAAAGAAACTATCATTCCTCAACTATGAGCTACCTCCAACTATCATTGATCCGTTCAACAAATATTTATTGTGTGTCTGCTATATTTATTTTGTGTCTACTATATTTATTGTGTGTCTACTATATTCCAAGAACAAAGCAGTTACAAATCCCTGCCCTCACGGAGTTTACCTTTTGGGGAAGAACAGATAATAAACAGGATAAATAAGTAAAATTTATAGTATACTGGAAAATAATAAGTGCTAAACATTAGAAATAAAGATGAGAAGGGAGGAAGCAGCAACAATGAGGGACTGTTGATATTTTAGAAAAGGTAGCTTGGGAAAGTCTAACTGACAAGGGGACACTTGATTAAAGAGTAAAGAAAGTGGAAGAGTGAGCTGCATGTCTGTTTGTGGGAAGAGCAGTCCATAGTAAGTGCAAAGACTACAAGGCCAGCCGGATGGTGGCTAAGGAACACCAGGAGGTCAGAGTTGTGGGAATAGAATGAGCAAAATGAAGTCAGTAGGAGGTGGTGTCCTGGTATGGCACTATAGGATCAGTACTGATTGCTAACTGTAAGGTCGGTGGTCCAAACCCACCAGCGACTCCTTGGAAACCCTATGCAGCGTCGCTATGAGTTGAAACTGACTGAACCATACTTAACACCAACAGGAGATGAGTCAGGGATTTCCTCTTAAGTCCCATTGGTCAAATTGGGACTTGAGGGAAATGAGCAGCTGTTTGAGACTTAAGAGAGAAAACGACTTGAGTAATATATTAACAGGATCCCTTTGGCTGCCATGTTAATAGTCTGAAAAGAGGCAAGGACTGAAGAAGGGAGACCAATTTGGAGGTTATTGTAATAATCATGGATTTGTTTTGAATTGAAGTTAAAATAGAGAGGACCAGGCTAAGACAGAGCACCATTCAATCCACATTTGTTGCGGGGAAATATTGAATCACATCTTTCTGCCAGCATTATGGTGCCTGAAAGAGCAGCCAACGGGACGTTGCTTCTGGACCTGAACAAGTCCTGCTTTGATAATGACAGCGAAGCACCCAACAACAAATTCAACTTCACCACACCATCTGGAGTGGGCAGCAACAGCAGATTTTTACAGGATCCAGCTGGCTCTGGGAAAATTGTGGTCAGTTAACAGTCATTACGTCATTTAAAGGGCAACGGGGAAGCTGGTCTGACATGCAGAGTGCATTTGCTGCCCTATAGAGAGAAATTTCCAAAGTAACTTCCCCTCAGAGCCTCTGTAACTGACAAACTTAATAGTGACTCTGCTTTTCCCATTTGTTCTTTATTTTACCCAGGTTCTGGGACTCATTTGTTATGCACAGTTGTGCCTGGGGTGTTAAAGACTGGATTCTTTCTTGCATAGCTCACAGTTTGTCTGCTTGTTTAGTGTGTCTCTGCAGTCACATTAGTACCCTCCGGACTCAATCACTTCTGTTTATTTGAGTGCTCATTCCTGGTCCATAAAGGAGTGAGGTGCGAGAAAGCAGGGCCAGAACCATGAATGGGTCTGGATAAATTCAGCGTCGTTACCCACTGTGTGAGACTGGTAGAATCCTCTCTTTTCATGTGGAAGAACTGGGTTCATTTTCCTAACCCATGCACCACCCATCTGTCAATAAAGGCTTGGGTGTTACTTTGGTGCAGAACAGGTTCCCGTGGAGCTGACAGACTAAGAAGAAAGGTCTAGCAATCTATTTTAGAAAATCAGCCAATAAAAATCTGATGTATCACAATGACCCAATCCCTAACTGATCCTGGGTATAGTACAGGACAGGGCAATGTTGTGTTCAGTTTTGCATTGAATTGTCATAAGTTGGGGGCCAACTTAATGGCAGCTAACAACAGAACCACGGAGGTCCAAATGAGAGAATGAGGGTTTGTAGCTAGACCACTCCTGTACAACTCCAAAGGGGCAAAAGTAGAGTTGTAAGAGGCAGGCATACAAGATGTTAGACCCTAACTTACAGGGCTCATGTGGAGGGCTGGCAGGGAAGAAGAGGGAAATAGCAGGGCAGGGAAGGTGGGTGGGGGTCTCCAGCATGGTTTGCAACAGAGATAAAGCTTCAGCGAGAAGAGCGAAGCAACCCTTGCCTCAACTCTTTACTTCTCAAGAAAGATCTTACTGATTCTATTCATAGTGTAATTTGAAAGCTAATTCATATTTTCTTTTATTTAGGAAATTAATAAATGAAGAAAGCACAGACAAGCATGACTATTTGGTGATAATCATTGTTAATATTTTCATCTGTTTCATTTTTCTATGCATCTATTTTACACATACGAGGGGACATCAGAAAGTTCATGGAAAAATGGAACTGAAAGATAATTTCCATCACCTTTGAAGCCTCCTTACATAGGCATAAGCTTTATGAATATGCATAACTATTTTAAATGATGTACGCAATAGAATGAAATTCTGTCTGAGTCATTCTCACAACTGTTGTTAAGTGTGAGCTCACTGTTGCTTCCACTGTGTCAATCCCTTTTGTTGAGGGTCTTCTTCTTTTTCACTGACCCTCCACTTTGCCATGCATGATGTCCTTCTCCAGGGTTTGCTCCCTTCTGACAACATATCCAACGAATTAGAGGCAGTTTCACCATCCTGGCTTCTAAGAAGCATTCTGACTGCGCTTCTTCCAAGACAGATTTGCTTGTTCTTCTGACAGACCATGGTATTTTCAATATTCTTCACCAACACCATAATTCACATGGTGAATTATGTGGTCTTCCTTATTCATTGCCAACTTTCACATGCATATGAGGTGATTGAAAATACCGTGACTTGTGCACCTTAGTCCTCAAACTGTCATCTTTGTTCTTTAGCACTTTAAAGAGCTCTTTTGCAGTAGATTTGCTTAATGTAATATGTCTTTTGATTTCTTGAGCACTGCTTACATGAGCATTGATTGTGGATCCAAGCAAAGTGAAGTCTTTGACAACTTCAGTCTTTCTCCAATTATCATGATGTTATTTATTGGTCAAGTTGTGAAGATTTTCATTTTCTTTACATTGATGCACAATCCATACTGAAGGCTGTAATCTTTTATCTTCATCAGTAAGTATTTCAAGTCCTTTCCACCTCCAGCAAGCAAAGTTATGTCATCTTCATATTTCATGTTGTTAATAAGTCTCCCTCCTATCCTGATGCCACATTCTTCTTCATATAATCCAGCTGCTCAGATTGTTTGCTCAGTATACAGATCAGAAAAGTATGGTGAAAGAATTCAACCCTGGCACACACTTTTCCTGATTTCAAACCATTCAATATCCCCTTGTTCTGTTCTAACAACTGCCTCTTGGTCTATGTACAGGTTCTTCATGAGCACAATGTTCTGTATTCTGGAATCTCCATTCCTTGCAATGTTAACCATAGTTTATTATGATACACAAAGTCAAATACCTTTGTACAGTCAGTAAAGCACAAATAAATGTCTTTCTGGTATTCTCTGCTTTTAACCAAGATCCACCTGACGTTAGCAATTATATCCCTCATTCCACATCCTCTTCTGAATCTAGCTTGAATTTCTGACAGCTCCCTGTTGATATACTGCTGCAACTCTTTTTAAATTTTCTTCAGCAAACTTTTACTTGCATGATAGTAATGATATTGTTTGATAATTTCCACATCTGTTGAGTCGCCTGTCTTTGGAATGGGCACAAAGATGGATTTCTTCCAACTGATTGTCCCAGTAGCAGTCTTCCAAATTTCTTGACATAGATGACTGAGCACCTGAAGTGCTGCATCGGTTGGTTGAAACAGTTCCTTGGTGTTCCATTGATTCCCATAGCCTTGTCTTTTGACATTACCTTCAGTGCAGCTTGGACTTCTTCCTTTGGTACCATTGGTTCTTGATCATATACTACTATCTCCTGAAATGATTGAGTATCGGCCAATTGTTTTTGGTGTCGTGACTGTGTCTTCCTTCCATCTTCGTTTGATGCTTCCTACATCATTAAATATTTTGCCCATAGCATCCTTCAATATATCAAATTAAGGCTTAAATTTTTTCTTCAGTTTTTTTAGCTTGAGAAATGCATGTGTTCTTCCCTTTTGGGTTTTTAGCGCCCAGTCTTTGTACATTTCGTTATAATACTCTACTTTGTCTTTTCGAGCTGCCTTTTCAAAATTTCTGTTCAGCTCTTTTACTTCACCATTTCTTCCAGTCATTTTAGTTCACTACATTCCAAAGTTCCAAAGTCTCTTCTGCCATCCACTTTGGTCTTTTCTTTCCTTCCTATCTTTTTAATGACTTCTTGCTGTCTTCATGTATAATATTCTTGATGTCATCCCACAACTCTCCTGGTTTTCGGTCATTAGTGTCCAGTGCATCTAATCTGCTCTTGAAGTGGTCTCTAAATTCAGGTGAGCTATATTCAAAGTCATATTTTGACTCTCATGAACTTGTTTTATTTTTCTTCAGCTTCAGCCTGAACTTACATATGAGTAATTGATGGTCTGTTCCAAAGTAAGCCCCTAGCCTTGTTTTCACTGGTGATATTGGGCTTTTCCACTGTCTCTTCCCATAGTTGTTGTCAATTTGATTCCTGCGTGTTCCAACTGGTGAGGTCCATGTGTATAGTCATCTTTTATGTTGCTTTAAAAAGGTATTTGCAACGAATAAGTCCTTGGTCTTGCAAAATTCTATCATGCTATCTCCAGTATCATTTCTATCACCAGTACCATGTTTTCCACCTACGTACTTTTCCTGTTTGTTTCAACCTGTTGCACGCCAATCACCCATGATTATCAATATAGCTTGACTGCGTGTTGGATCAATTTCATATTGAAGTTGGTAGAATTCTTCAGTTGTATCATCACTGGCTTTACTGATTGGTAGGTCAATTTGAATAATAGTTGTATTAATTGAGTGTCTTTATAGGAATATTATCCTATCAGAGACAGTATTGTACATCAAGATAGATCTTGAGATTTTTTTCTTTTTTTGGGATGAATATATTCAGTTTGTCATTTGGGTACAAGCATAGTAATCTGTATTATTTCTTGATAAAAAATAGCCAATACCAGTCCAATTCAACTAGAATATCAGTCTATATATTTCATTTCATTTTTACAACTTCCAATTTTCCTACATTAATACATCATTCATTCCATGTTCCAGTTATTACTGGATATTTGCAGGTGTTTCTTCTCATTTTGAATTGCGTTCTATCAGCAAATAAAGGTCCTGAAAGTTTTGCTCTATTTATGTCATTATGATCAACTCTATTTTGAGGAGGCAGGTCTTTCCCAGTTGGATTTTGAGTGCCTTCCCATCTGCGGGGCTCATATTCTAGAACTATATCAGACAATTTTCAACTGCTATTCATAAGATTTTCAGTGGCAAATCATTCAGAAGTGTTCCATCTCTCCTTTGTCCTAGTCTGGAAACTCTGCTGAAATCTGTTCATCATGGGTAACCCCACATCGTGTGAAATTCTGGTGGCATAGCTTCCAGCATCACAGCAACACACAAGCCACACGGTACAACAAAGACAGACGAGTGGTGGGTGTAATAAATAGGATTATTTATTCTGTATAATCTCTCTGTTTTAATCTAGTTGATTGGTGATCTAGATTATGAAAATCCAAGTAATCTGGCATTCGGCAATAAATACTCCATGATAATCCAAGTGCAGGACGTTGCTCCTCCTTACTATAAAAGCAAGTATCATTTTAATTTATTTCATGAGGCATCTTCTGGAATAACAATAATAATAATAGCTGTATTAGATAATATTTGTGTTTCAAAGCAGACATCAATGAAACCAAACACCTGGGAGTCTTCCCAGTCTTCTCCCCTTCTGCCCCTAGCACGTTTAATCAGTCCGTTCTTCTGTTGTTGTTGGTTGTTGTTGTTGTTAAGTACCGTGGAGTCGGTTCCAACTCATAGTGACCCTGCACAGGGTTTCTGAGGCTGTAAATCTTTACGGGAGCAGAAAGCCTCATCTTTCTGCTGCGGAACCGCTGGTAGTTTCTGTTGGTAGGTACTTTCAAATCAGTTCTGAATCATGGCGAACCTGCATAGGGTTTCCGAGGCTTTAAATCTGCGAGATAGTAGAAAGCCTCAAGAATTGCCCACTTTGCCTCTGCCCTGCAGCCCACAGTTACTGATCTTATGCACGCACTTCCTTTGCTTGGCTGAATCACATATGCACCGGATAGCAAATTTTGTAATTGGTTTGATCTGCAAAGTCAGTGGTTCTAGCTCACCAGCTGCCCTTTGAAAACCCTATGCAGGGTTGCTATGAGTTGGAACCTACTCGATGGCACTAACAACAACAGTCTCTTAAGGGTCCCTTTGTCTTGTCCCTCTACAATATATCTTTCCCATTTCTATTAGTGATGTTTTAGGAAATGCAAATGTCATCATATTACTTCCTTACTTAAAGCCCTTGAGTGTCTCCCATAGCTTTCTAGTTCAAGTTCAAACTCTTCTGTTTCACATACAAGGGTGCTAATCATCTGGTCCCTGTTTAATTCTCTAACTTCATCTCCAATCATGCCCCTCTAAACCGACTTCCTCCTGGCTAGGCCAAGCAGCAGTTCTTTTGAGTGAATTGAGCTTTTTTATACATTGATACCTTATCATAGGAGTCCTGGCGTGGCACTGTGGGACAAAGCACTGGACTGCAAGTTCAGTTTGAACCACAAGGGCAGTGGTTCAAACTCACCAACCACTCCTTGGAAACCTTATACAGTGTTGTTATAAGTCAGAACCGACATGACAGCGTTTAACAACAGCCTTATCAATATGCCAAGAATACCCACCCAAACTCACCTCTGCCCCAGTTGCCTAACTTACTATCTTTGTGGAGTTCTGGTGTGGTGCTGCAGGATAATGCACTGGACTACAAGGTCAGTTTGAACTGCAAGGTCCATCAGCGGTTCATATTCATAAGCAGCTTGACGGAAAGCCTACACAGGGTCGCTATGAGGAGTCAGAACCAACTTGACCTCACTTAACAACAACAATAACAAATATCTTTGTAGTCCCTGGATTGTTAAGCACTAGACTACTAGCCAAAGTTTTAGTGATTCAAGGCCACCCAGGCTGGCAATTTGCTTCTGAAAGGTCATATCCTTGAAAACTCTATGGAGGGCAATTCTATTCTGCACACATAGGTTGCCATGAGTTAAAAATGACTTGGCGGCAGCTGGTATAACTGTCTTTGTGAGACTCAGCACGCTCCTCCTCCTGGAAGATGGTCCTCCTTTGGTTTGCATAGTCCTCTGTATATGCGTTTATCAAAGTACACACACCACACCCTAAGCACCTGGAGGGCACAGACCACTGTCTTTTCATCTTGTTAAGTGTCGCCAAGGTGATTCTGACACACAGTGACCCTGTCTAACATTTCAAAGGCTGTAAATCTTTTCTGAAGCAGAAAGCCTCATCTTTCTTCCTTGGAGTGGCTGGTGATGTTGATCTGCTGACCTCCTGGTTCCTAATCCAGTGCTTATCCTACAGAGCCGTACTCCCTTACTCACCTCATTGTTGTTAAGTGCCATTGAATCCGTTGTGACTCATAGTGACCCTGTACAGGGTTTCCGAGAAGTAGCTGATGAGTTTGATCCGCCGACCTTGCAAATGAAGCCAACCTTGTGGTCCACTGCTTATCATACAATGCCACACCAGGACTCCTTATTCACCTTAGATCCCCAGTATGTTGCACAAATCCTGGTACACAGAAGGTGTTTTTGAAATGTTAAAAAGTTAAATGAATGTGTAAGAAAAGATACTGAGAATTAAAATGTTGTTTCTATTTCTGTTATTAGATGACATCTACATTTATATCCTAACAAGCCCAGAAAATGAGTTTCCTCTCATTTTTGATAGGCCATCCTATGTATTCAACGTGTCAGAAGTTAGTTCAGGTAGGTAGCAGATATTCGCAGAGTCCGTATCCAGATGCTTGCTCTGGGAAGGGGATGCTCTGTTTGAGAGGCCCTGTGTGGCGTTTTGTGCAGCAATTCACAGCTGATTAGTGTTTATTGCATCCCTTACTTTTCTTTTAAATTGTTCTCACTGCTGAGGAGCCCTTCAGGTGAAGTCTGGATTTTGAAAACTGTTGATTAAATTGCATTTCTCAGAATCCCCTGATTGCTGCTTTGTCTGTTTGCCTGATTCCTTGAATCTTCCCTATTTATAGTCTAACTTTTCTCTTGGTCTCCACTGTGATTTTTACCCAGCTCACTCAGAGACTGGAAATTGAAAAGACCAAGTTTCTCATTCCCAGGTTCCCTTCATTTAAAAACAAAATGAAGCGTTTTCTCTCTTCTTTCTGAACATTCACCGGATGCCTTCCTTTATGCCCTAACACCTCAATTCTGTCATCTCACATCCATTAAACTCTCGCCCTGCTTCTACTTTTGACTTTAGTTTTTTCCCATTGCTCCCTGTTTGAAAGTAATAACATTAACTCTCTAATATAATCGTAGATTTCTCCATAGCTTTTGTCCCTTTGATTGGTGCTGGTGGTGGTTGTGTGCTGTGGAGTAGGTTCAAACTCATAGTGACTGTGTATAGGGTTTCTGAGGCTATGAATCTTCATGGGAGCAGAAAGCCTCCTCTTTCTCCCTCGAAGCGGCTGGTAGATTCAAACTGCTGACATTGCTGTTAGAAGAACAACTTGCACTACGCTATCAGAGCAACTTGTTTTTTGTTTATGGATTACTTGTTCCACTTTCAAAAGACAATATCCAAACACTCCTTTAAAAATGATCTTTCTTCCATTTTATTCTCTCTCTTTATGATGGTCTTTATTTCTGGACATTGCATTTAGAACAAAAAGGAAGAGGGTCCAAAGAAAGTGTTTTCGTTTCTTATAGCTTAGCCAGTACAGCCATAATAAATAGGATTTTAGGTGCATTCACACATCTTACTACAATTATTTTTGCATTGGGCTGCTAAATGCAAGAGCAGTAGTTTGAATACACCAGTAGCACTTGGGAAAAAGATGAGGCTTTCTGCTCCTGCAAAGATTTACAGCCTCAGAAACCCTATACGGGGCTATTGTGAGTCGGAACCGACTCGATGGCCTACAACAACTTTGGGTCAAATAATTTACTTTTGCTGGGGCTAAATAGTTGATTAAAGGACAGTTGATACCTATGGGAAGCATAATTCATGAGAAAAAACTTTTATAAATAAGCAAGCCAGAACCACAGCAGCTCTACCAAAAAGACTTGTAAAATAAATAAAATAAAACATGAAACAGTATTTAAAAATGCATATTTTACAATCATATGTTGATAAATTCTTATAAATTATTTCTTATTGGTGGTTGTTGGTGGTGGCTATGTGCTGTGGAGTCAATTCCAACTCATATTGACCCTGTGCTGGGTTTCCTAAGCTGATAATCTTTACAGGAGCAGAAAGCCTTATCTTTCTCCCAAGAACAGCTGGTAGTTTCGAACTGTTTACCTTGGGGTTAGCAGCCTGATTCATAACAACTATGCTACCAGAACTCCTTCATTGACTATTAATCATATTTATAAAAGCACTTCATGCACATCAAAAGAAATTTGAAAAATATAGGAGTAGAAAACAGGAAAGAAAAAAATCACTTTAAACATTCTACTGAAAAATGGAGAGTCTGCTCTGGGTTAATGCATCAGACAGCAAAGTCATTTGAACTGCAAGGTCGGTGGTTCAAGCTCACCAGTCACTCCTTGGAAACCCTACACAGGGTCGCTATGGGTTGGAACTGACTCGATGGCACTTAACAACAACAACAACATTGCAAAAAGGTATGCGTAAGAACGTCCTGTGTGGTTTTACTTATGGTAGTGAAATCACTGGCATACTGGGAGTGGAAATCAAGAGGATGAATTGTCTGCAACATTAAGATTTCTTTTAAACTTCTCAATAGTTGCTGCACCTAGGCCAATTGCTCGGACCATAGAACCAGAGACCTAGAGGACCAGGCCTTGGTTTTTGAGGTACTTTTTAAAAAATCTAATGAAATCCAAGATATAAAACCTACAGAGTATGAACAACGCAAAGGCCTCCAAAAGTCATTCCCCATTGACAGTGAGATGGGCTGTGTGCTCCTGTGCCCCGCCCACCAAAGCAATACTGATCTCAGATCTATTCTGTTCCTCCAGCTAGAGCCCGGATTGGACAAGTACGAGCCACTGATAAGGACTTCCCCCAGAGCAGCATCCTGTACTCCATCTCCACTGGAGGGGCCAGCCTCCAGTACCCAAACATATTTTGGGTTAATCCCAAGACAGGAGAACTCCAGCTAGTGACTAAAGTGGACTATGAAACGACCCCTACCTATATTCTCAGGATCCAGGCCACCAACAATGAGGACAGCAGCTCAACTACTGTGAGTGCGGCTGTGTGGTGTGCTCACATGGACTTCTGGCTTCAGGGTGTTTATCTGCAGCCATAAGGAATCTTATAGGGCACAGCCTGCTGCAGTGACAGGAAATGAGTACTGGTGCCAAGGACAGCAGAACTGGACACACAGAGGTGCCCAGGAAGTAAAGATCGACCTCTGCATGTCCACGTTTGGCAGGGAGGAGGGGGCTCAGCGAAGTGCTGAGATTGATGAGCAGATGTTGGACTATCTGCTTAATCCACAAAGGCGCTCTGTAGGACAGATGTCCTCCTGAAGTCCTCCAAATCTCCCTTTGCTTTCCCGGTGGGCTGGCGGTGAGATGCAGAAATGAGGTGATTTCATAGCTCTGTTTTTAACTCCACGAGGAGTTTTGTCACATACGCACATACCTATCCACCTACCCGCCTACTAACCAGGATAGGGTAGATCTTAGAATCGTGTGGCTTTACATAGTGCTATGGGGCTGTTTTTGTTACGTGCCATCAAGTCGACTCAGACTCATAGCGACCCTGTATAGGGTTTCCAAGGTTTGAACCGCTGACCTTGTAGTTCACAGTCTAGTGCTGATCCTACAGCGCCACCTCAGGAGTCCAGTGCTATGAGACAGTGGTGATTTCATGGTAGAATTCTTGCCTTCCTAGCCGGAGGCCTGAGTTCAGTTTCTGGCCAATGTACCCTATGTCCAGCCACCACTTCAGTGTCCGTGAAGACTCATGCTGCTATGATGTTGAACCAGTTTCAGCGGAGCTTCTAGACTAAGACAGACAAGAAAGTCTTGGTGCTCTACTGACAATCAGCAACGAAAACCCAATGGATCACAATGGTTCGATCTGTAACCACCCCTGGAGATGGGCACAGGATGGGGAAGCATTTCATCCCATTGTGCATGGGGTCAGCATGAGTTGGGGACCATCTCTATGGCAGCTAACAAGCACAGAGAGTGCTATACTGCTTCTCAATCTCTGATGTTGAGAATCTTGCTAAATGCAGATTTTGATTGAGAAGGTCTGAGGCTTGAGGTTCTGCATTCTCTAACAAGTTCCCAAGAGGTGCCAGTGTTGCTGGTCCATGGGCACACTTTGAGTAGCAGGGTTTCACAGGTCAGTGCCATCAGCGATTAGGACTCACTGAGGGTAATGGGATGGCCACACAGGCAGAACGATTTCTTGCTCTTTCCCATTAGTAACATGGAAAAACATGAAGGCAAAATGAACTCTTAGCAGGCAGCCCTGGGTGATGAAGAGAATGACGGGGTCAGAGTCAGTAGATGGGGTTCTTTCTCAACTTTGATCCCAATTTTCTCAGGGGCCTGTGCAATGTTTATCTCCATGTTCCAATTTCTCTGTCTCTCAAACAGATATTCAGCTAGTAACCCAAGGCCTGAGGAGTCCAGCTCCTCTGATGACTTGCTTTGAATGAATGGGCTGTTATTTTTCATGATGGGTGAAGCTTGCCATTGGTAGCTGAGGGAAGGATGCATTACATTGGAGATCATTGTGATACTTGTTAGGTTGGGGGTTTTCTTTTTGGAAAAAAAAAATGAATGGACTTCACTTTGGGAGCTAACTAAAGTGAACATTTCAATTTATTCATGGGCTCAGAAATAGCTGAAATCCCCAAATATCAAACGTAGAGTGAATATGACTCAAAATTCATAAGCTTTAAAAAGAGTGATGAACTAAATGATCACATAAGTCCCTTTCGGGACTGACAGTCTGTGATTCTGTGCTGGCAGCCATCCCAGTCCATCCTCCAACTCGCCAGGCAAAAGAGAGAGCTGTGAGAGAGAAGGCTGGGCCCTGCCTGCGGCTGGTGAGACCCACTGGCACAGCCAATAGCCATGGTTACAGACAAAACCCTGCCTCAGCCAGACAGACTGATTCTATCTAGATGGCTGCATATGAGAATCATCTGGGGGGCATAATATAAAAACAAAGCCTGGGCCCACTTCTAGAGAGTCGAATGCATGGTGCCTGGAATGTGGCCCAGTAATGTGGCTCTACATTGAGAATCATCACACTCTATTCCAAAGTTAAAGTCTGAACTCTCAATTCACAGTGGACTGTGAGCAAGAAAGTCTAGTGGATCACTGTAAATCCACTAGATTAATAAGCATCACTGGAGAAACAGCTCAGCATTATTTAAGGCTGAGCCAATGTATCTCTGTGAGCATGTGAGGAGGTATGAGAAAGTATTTATATTTATGCATACACACACACAGAGTGTAGACATGAACAGCATAGGATCTGGAATAGACCAGAGTTCAAATCTGAACTCTGCCATTTACTTACCAGCAGTATGGTTTTAGGTCAGTTACCTAACTTCTCTAAGTCTCAGGTTCCTTATATGTAAATGGGAATAATCATATTATCTTATTTCATCTGAAGTGAACTAATTCATGGAAAAGCACTTCGTCTGGTGCTGGGCACATAGTAAGGCCTTGATAAGCATTAACAACAATGTGGTGTGGCACTTTGGGATAAGCATTGGACTGCTAACTGCAAGGTTGGTAGTTCAAATCCACCAGCTGCTCTAGGAAATCGTATACAGGGTCGCTATGAATCAGAACCGACTAGACGGCACACAGCAACAGCAATTAAGAATGACCACCTTCTTGTTACTCTAGGTTACTGTGAACATCCATGAAGAAAATGATGAAAACCCAATATGTACCCCCAAATCTTCTTTTCTGGCCATCCCAGTGGATCTGAAAGTTGGAACAAATATTCAGAACTTCAAGCTGATGTGTACTGATCGTGATTCCAGCCCCAGATCTTTACGTTATTCCATTGGCCAAGGTACAGTACTTGGCTTCCAGCATTGGGCCTCTTCTTGAGGACTTCTGGGAGCTGTTGAGCAAATGCAGGGGGGAGCTAGTGGGGAGGTATCTTGAATGAGGAAAGCAGATATGAAGAGTCGAATGATGCTTGTATCCCTTGTCCTCCTCTTTGGCGTCCTCCTGTCCTCATCTAACTCTTCCCAGAACCCCCTACAGGACTGCCCAAAGGCCCAAGGAAGGTTGAATCCCATCCATGTGACCCCTCCCCCCCAAATATCCAGACTAGTTAAAAAAATTCATAAATCATACAAAGTAATTTTTTTTTAATTTAGTTCGGTTCTTCTACCACCTCTTTCCTGAAAGCATATAATGGGGGCAGAGAATCCCAGTTCTCTCTCTGGGTAATAATAGATTAAATAGATGAACTGCATTTTGAAACGTGTCCTCAGGAATTCTCTTCTGCTCCATTCATTTTCTCTCTTTAAAAATATACCATTGTCGGAGGTGGGGGTGGGGTGCAGGGAGATCACCCCTCAATGGAAATTAGACCAAAATAGCTCATTTTGAAGTGCTAGGGCCAGAGATTCCAACCCAAACAAGCAGAGCAATTCCACGTGAAAGAGTAAAATCCATCTTGGCTGCCTGCTGCACCCTGGCAGAGCAGAAACTCAAGCAGAAGGAAGCCTCTCGAGCCGAGCCGACTGTGTCACAAAACCCAGGGGCAGACACCGCCTTGAGACTGCAGTTGCTGAAAATGGAAAGAATCCACACTGAGAACCCCAAAGCCTTTATGGTGCACTTCGCTGCTAAGGGAGTGAAAATTGCATCATCCCTTGCTCCATTTACTGGTTTTCAGTCAGTAATGAGTCTGGAGCCACCGGAGAAATGAGCAAGTGCGAGCTCGGGCTGGCAGCCTCTGCCCCAGGCTTCTTGAGCTGTGAGCCCTGAGCCCCAAGCCCCAATAGAACTCTCTGTGTGTGTATGTGTGTGTGTGTGTGGGGGCGGGGGTGCTTCAGGAGAACTGGGACCAAGATCCCTGAAAAGCCAGAAGGTACATACCTTCCTTTGTGGGTCTCCGGGGGTATCAGCAATCAGTGTGACCAGACAGGCTCCATGAATGCATGGTGTAAATTTGGTCTATAGCTAGAAATGTGGCCCTGCCTCCTTCCTGTGGTCCACTCTTTGGTCTGAGTGTGAGTGACACATGTGGTTACTGAAACTAATGTTATATGCGAAGGATTGGTTCATTAGCAGGGACTGCACCAGGATGATTAAGTCTCTACCTGATGATCAGCAAGATGGTGGCCAATTCTACTAGGACAGATGTTATCTGTATTTAGTCTCATCTTTGTGTCAGCCACACAAGTGTGAGCAGGAATTCCTTTGTATAAATGAAATATTTGATGCAGTTAAAGTCTATAAATATCACTAACCCAGCCCTGGTGCATTCCAAAACACAGTATACACTTCGATGCTGTTGTTAAGTGTCGTGGAGTCAGTTCCGACTCACAGAGACCCTGTATAGGGTTTCCTGGAGTGGCTGGTGGGTTTGAACTGCAGACCTTGCAGTTAGCAGTCCAGTGCTTATCCCACAATGCCACACTTGTACATTTGAGGATAAGCCTGAATATACTTTTCTTCCAATCCTTTAGTCTTCTTTTTCTAACTCTTACTTCCTTTTCCCTACAACCTTGTATCAAATTTCATCTAGGCAACATCAACAATCATTTCACCTTCTCACCCAGTGCTGGGTCCAACGTCTCACACTTGTTGCTTGCATCTCACTTTGATTATGATGGTGGCCTTGATAAGATCTGGGACTACAAACTACTTGTCTACATAACTGATGACAACTTGCTGTCTGGAAGGAAGAAGGCCGAGGCTCTTGTTGAAACAGGGACAGTAACACTGAGTATTAAAGTTATTCCTCACCCAACCACGATCATCACCACAACTCCCAGGGTAAGACTTCATTCTGGAATCACCAACCACATTCCTTTGTGATTGACACTGATTACTTTGACCGAAGGAAAATGTGGGATACACCAAAATGTCAGTGGTATTAGGATGGCAGCCATTAGGGCTGGATCAGAGTAGTCAGTGAATGGCAGATATGACCTCATAGGACCATTCACAGTTCTATTCTGGTCATGGCCTGTGAGATCAGGTATTGACCACCTATGGCGCTTCTGACACAGGAGCCGGTTTTCATGGGCATGTGGCCAGCCGCCATCTTCACAACCCCATCTCTGCTTGGTCTTAAGAGCCATTGCAAGTCAATTTCCATGAACACAGAGAGTTTCCAGGTGGTCTCTATCTCCTTTGAAGTATCACTATGGGCCATTTTGTTTCCTACTCCCCATTTTCATGATTAAAAAAAAAAAAAATCAATCCACAAATATTAATGTAATGGTTATAATGTGAACAAGTCAAAAATGATTCGTGCTCTTGTGCTTTGGATGTGTGTCCATGTTCTCAGAGTGGGGTCCATGGAACAACAGCAGCACCTGGGAATTCGTTAGAAATGTGAATTCTCAAGCCTCCCAGCTTATTAAATTTATACTTCACCCAACCATGATCATCATCATGACCACCAGGGAAGCACATTAGAACGCAACCTCATCCCCAAAATGGCTGGATCAGAAACTCTGGCACGGGGACCCAGCAATCTGTGTTTTAATAAGTTCTCCAGGGAGTTCTGATGTGTGCTGAAGGTTGAGAGCCACTAGTCTGGAGGGGTAGACAGGTAACAAACAAGTAAACAAATTAATAAAATACTTCTAGATTGTGGTAAGTGCTAGAAAGGAAGTAGCAGGTACATAACAGAATCAAAGTTAAGGAAGGAGGAGTTTGGGACTTTGCCAATAGGATCACCTCAGCGTCTTGGAGGGACTGGCTGATATTTATGCTGCCTTTTTTGTTCCCTAAGCTTGTAAAAGCTGCACCTTTGGTCAGCAGCCCTACACTTGCAACATGCCAGAGGAAGCTAATCAGAACTTAGAAAATCATCTATGAAAGGTGGCCAACTTCTGCTTCTCAGAGTCTTCTCGAGAGCTAATTAATGCTTACCTCCCCTGCGCTTGCATCAATATTATCCCAATGAATGGAGGTATATATATGGTAACCTTAAAGACTTTTAGTTACAGCAGAAGCCAGTAGGATCCCCTGAGTAAGGGGCTTAAAGCATGCCCCAGTTATGACAACTCCAATCCTGAAATCTCCGTAACTTGTTTATCTGTATTCCATTCTAGGAAGCAGATGCTGAACTTGAAGTTTTACTGTGATACCAACCCACTCCTCTGGCAGTGGCAGCTTGTAGTTGAATGAACACTGAAAAACCTACAAGTTGTACAAAAAAAAACAAAAAACCTTTCATGGCTCATGCCTTCCCAGTAAGAGACAATTGCTACATTAGTCCCTGGGTTACACCATTATTTGGCAGAAAAAAAGCCAATAGCATTTTTAGTGTTTAGGAAGGGGAAGAAAGAGAATGAGATTAGGGTTGGAGGTGCTTTTCAGGTCCCTAAATTGTCTGAATTTTGATGTAATGGATGTCTGGAAAGACAGTTGGTCAGGTGATGGGTTGAAGCAGCAAAAATTATGAGCACACGGATATCTGCCATCTAGAGCAAGAACAAAGTAGACACCCATCACAGGGAAGTACTAACATGCTCCATTCACCCTCCCCCTTTCTGTTGTTCAAGCCCCGGATCACCTACCTAATCCAGAGGAAAAATGTGTATTCTCCATCTGCGTGGTATGTGCCTTTTGTCATCACCTTGGGCTCCATGTTGCTTCTGGGTTTCCTGGTGTCCTTGATCATCATGTTGGTCAAAGCCATCCACAGATACTGCACCTGCAAGCCCAGGAAGGCCAAGAAATCTCTGTAAGTCACCAGTGCTCTGAGTCCTTTTCACCACTTCTTTCAGTACAGTTTCCAGTGATGTCAAGATTCTTCTACAAGGTAGGATGCCTGGGATGAATGAAAGAAAAGGAAATAAGAAGGTATCTCAGCTTTCCTTAGCCTTGGTGTCCCATCTCATCACCAGTCTTTTGGCTTTTCCTGGCAGCCTACTCTATCTGGATGGAGCTTCAGCCCTTGAGGGGCCTTGCCCTGGATAAATGTTCTGCATAGCCCTGTTATGAGCAGTGATAGAACATGGCATGCCCTTTTACGTAGGGTTTTTTAAAGACAGAAGGAATCAAAGGAAACACAGAAAAGAGAATTTAGCTTTTGATTCCAATGACTCAGTGGGATCCTTGTGTGACTAAATAATCATGTGGTTATGCACACGGCCACAATGTCTCACTCCTGAAGGGCTGTAAACAGGTGTGTTTTCTCTGCCTCCTACTCTCACCTGCTCACTAATCTGCCTGTTACTGTGACCGTCTGTGGAGTGTCTTTTATGGCTAAAGTGAGGTACTAGAGTGAAGTGGAGAGAGCGCTATATTGTTACAAACTGCCCGCAGAACCAGCTCTCTAGATTCTCAGCAACTCTTACAGCTAGACTATGATGGCTATGAACCTGCCTTCAAGTCCAGGTTCTGCCACCTTCTAGGAATATGGCTTTGGACAGTGACAACCTCTGTGGACCTTCATTTCCTTATATATAAACGACAGCTCTAAATGAGCAAACTGCACGTAAAGGTCTTAGCATTCTTTCTAGTATAGATCCACCTAGGAGTCCTGGTGGTGCAGTAGGAGAAGCACTGGAATGCTCACAGCAAGGTCAGCAGTTCAAACCCACCAGCCGCTCTCCGGAAACCTTAAACAAGGTTTCTATGAGTCAGATGACTATTGTCATCCAGTCAATTCCAACGCATGCGTGCCAGAGTACAACTGTCCTCCATATGGTTTCCAGTGCTCATTTTTCAGAAGTAGATCACCAGGCCTTTTATCTAAGGGTGGAATTGAACCTCCAACCACTTACACCACTCCAAGATTCTTCCTGATATATGTGTGTGTGTTGTTTTTGTTGTTAATACCATTCGGTTGGTTTTGACTATAGCAACCCTGTTTAGGGTTTGAGCCACCAACCTTGTGGTTACTAGTCTAGTGCTTATCCTACTGTGCCACACCAGGACCCTTTGTTGTTGTTGTTAAGTTCCGTGAGGTCTATTCTGACTCATAGAAACCCTGTGCAGGGTTTCCAAGGAGCAGCTGATGGGTTTGAACCACCTACCTTGTGGTTCAAAGTCCAGTGCCTATCGTACAGTGCCACCCCAGGAGGCCCACCAGGACTTACTACATGACAGCCATTATTGGCATTGTTGTGTTACATTATTCCTCATAGTTGAGTCCTAGCAGGCTAATGATTCTGGATTCCAAGCCTGGTACTCTGCCCAAGTATCTCTCAGTGTTAGAACCACTGAGTTTCATGGTTCCTCAGTGGGAAAGAGAATGGGGGATAAGACTCATACACCTTTTAAAGGTATTTTGAAGATTAACTAGTACTGTCAAATAATTTAAAATCTATGGATGAAAGACTCAGTATAAAATCATAAGGCTATAGAGATGTGCATTGTATTTTGCCATATTTATTGGGGAAGTTGTTGCTATTGGCAACCTTGACTTCAAGGTAGGAAATCCTTGAGCAGCTGCTGAAATTAAAAAAAAAAAAAAGACATTTTTGTTTGGGCTCTATTTGTGAATTGATTTGGGAAAAAAAAGAAAATTGTCTCCAAAAGAGTGACGCTTAAGTTTGTAAGGATGCTGGTGCTCTATAATTGCTGGTGCTCTATAATTGCTGGTGCTCTATAATGGAATTTGGGCGAAAGTAATCCAATAGACACTGGAACTCCCATGCAATTTATGGCTAAGTGTTAAATATGCACCTTGAACCTGGTTGTTTTTTACTTAGTTTCTAAATATTAATTGTTTCCAATATGGTTAGCTTAAGAGAAACTAGTGATAAAATCAGGCTCAGGTCTGGCCTCTCTAGATATTAGTTGTTCCATGTGGCAGCAAACATTTGTCAAGTAGAAAAGAAAAGTTAGAGTTATAACCCAAGGTTATCCTGGGAAGGACTAGAGATCAAGGTCAGCTCCTCCTGTTGCAGGAAGCCAAGGTTTACCTGCCAGTCCCTGAACCTCCTTCTGTGAGTCAGGTGCTCTTCTTGCTGGCTGCTGGAGAGAGAGAAAGAATAGGAAGAATTTTCCAGGGCAGTCTGGTTGAGGTGGTCTTGCCCTCACTGTGTAGTATAAAACAGTTAAGGCACTCACTTGGCTGGTAACTGGAGGGTTGGACATTCCAGACTAGCCAGAAGTACCTTGTAAGAAAGGCCTTGTGAGCTTCTGAGAACACAATCATTGAGAACCTCATGGAGCAAGTTCTACTTGGACATACATGGAGTCTGCATAGCTTGGAAGTGACTCAATGACAACTGATTTTGACCTCATTCTGGAAAATATATCCCCTGAAGTTCAATAAAGCAATTGGTTTCAAACTCAGCAAACCCCCAGAATGTTCTGGTCTGAAGTAAATTGTGATGGAATTGCTCTATTGAGAACAGGGTTTTGTACTCAGTGCCTACCTGTCCAATCTTCTTTGTGACCCTCACGGCTGATCTCTCTGCCAGTCAATCCCTTGGAGTTTAAGGAGCCCAGCTGCTCAAAGGGCCCAATGTTGGTATGTGAGTAACACAGCAGTGGATACTCTCTGGTTAATGAATGTTTCTTTCTCTCTCTTTTTTCCCCACAGGGTGAAGAAAGAAGGTATGTATAGTGCCTGTTGTCTCTGTTTTTCTGCTAGGTCTGTTGTACTATATTAATGGGCTCCAGCTGGGCAGAGAATCAGAGCATAATCTTGGTGGGTTGTCAGTGAGTGTAAGGGAGCAGAGGTCAGATAAAAGTGGGGAAAGGGAAAGATGAAGTGCTTGTACCATTGGCCCACTCAGACCTCTCCTTTGGCCCCACCATTCTCCAGTCCTTTTGACTGTAGTATCTAGAGGCCTCCCAGAGTAGGTCAGGAACCATTCTCCATGTGCCAAACACCAGGCCCAAAAATATCCACTACCGTCACATCGATTCCAATCTATAGCGAATCTAGAAGACTCCTGGTATGGTGCTGTAAGATCAACACTGGACTTTGAGCCACAAGGTTGATGGTTCAAACCCACCAGCTGCTCTTCGGAAACCCTAAACAGGGTCACTGTGAGTCAGAACCGACTCGACAACACTTAAAAGCAACAGTATAAGATATAGTAGAACAGCCCCCATGGGATTTCCAAGGCTGTAAATCTTTATGGGAACACACTCCCATATCTGTCTCTGCTGGAGCAACTGGGGGATTCAATCTGCCAACCTTTTGGTTAGCAGCCAAGTGCTTAACTACTGCACCACCAAGGCCTCCTGTGAACAAGTGGGCTTCAAAAAGTTTGTAGAAACATGGAATTGAAAGATAATAGTGTTATTCCACAAACTTTTTAAAGCTCTTGCTTATGTGAATAAATATACACATGGGTGGGCTTTTAAAAATTCATGGAAAAATGGAATGAAAAGATCATGGAATTCTCCCATAAACCTTTTGAAGTCCTTCAAAGTGTATGGGTGTGTGTATACATATATATTTTTTTCCTTTCTGATGACAAGCTGTCAACAATCATGCCTATAGACAGAAACATTATTTGCTGTGTCTGCAAGACTGAGTTCAAAGCCTATTTAGGGGAAGTGCCATGGTGAGGGTAGAATTTTAAGGTCAATTGAATGTCCAGGAAGCTTGACTTCTGCCTGTCCTATTTCCTGCAGAAAGGAAGCCCCCGACTAAGAGAGCTGCCGTAATGGTGAGTGTGGTTGGCGCCAAGGCCCTGGCTCAGGGGCTGGGTGGCAAGAGGTGCAGTCCCCTACCCAGGCCTTGCCACAGCTTCAGGCAGTGTTTCTCATTCAGGGCAAGGCTTGTGCTTGGCCACTGGAACAGATTGCTGTGTGACGAGCCCCTGATAGAATTTGTTCCCTCCACTGAACATGTCTGCTGATATATTTGCAAAAGAAGTGGATTTCATAAATATTGAAGAGTGGTGTTTATTATCTACCCCAGCCCTCCAGGAGTATGAGTCAGGGGAGTGGAACTTAAAGACCAGAACCGGCGCTTCAGCCTTCAGTGGGATTTATTTTTTCTTCACTCTTCCACAACCTTATGGGGAAATGATAGCGAAAGGCTGAGGCTGGGCTTGGCTCTGCTCACTTAGGCAGATGACCTTGAGGAATCCCTGGCCTCCTTGAGCTTGAGCTTCCTCCTCTGTGGAATGGGAGTGGGAACATCTGCCCTAAGGTAACAAACCCAAACCAGACCCACTACCTTTGAGCTGATTCCTACTCATCACGAGTGATCCTATAGGACAAAGGAATACTATTCCTTAGGCTTTCTGAGACTGTAAATCTTTATAGGAAGCCATGAAGTAGCTGATGTGTTTGAACCGCTTACCTTGGGGTTAGCCACCCAGTGCCTGGCCCAATGCATCACCAGGCCTCTTTTTGAGGTAACAGGTGGGGAAATGTTTTGAAACCATCAAGTGTTACACAACACAAACTGCTACAGGACAGCTGGAGTGTTACCTCTGCACCCCACCCCATGTTTTGTTTTGTTTTTTTCTTTTGCTCAACTTGATCACCACTGAGAAGGGACAGGACTGAAGGCGAGTCCTTCAGCTTTTTCCCAGCACTTAAAGTAAGACTTTGCTGTCATCTGCCACCTGTGAGTTCAGCAGATGAAAAGCCCAATGAGGGGCTGGCCCATCCAGTACGCGGGAAGATTTGCTTCTGACCCTTCACATAAGTGCTCCAGGTCAGTCTGCAAACAGGAGAAAGAGTGCTGAGTCTTACTAAGTCAAATGGCCTTGGTGACACCATTCAGAGGTCACCTTATCAGTCTGTTAAATAATGAAATCCCATGACCATGTAAAATGGGGTGCTATTTAGCTGGTCACAAGGATAAAACCCAAATAATGCTCTGAGAGAGTGAGTAGGTGTTTATTCATGTGGTGAAAGTCAGAATTGAAAGGCCCCATGGAGCCTCAAACACCTTCCTCATCAGCACACTAAACAACCCGACCTTGGCAACACAAGAAGAAGGGGTCATTTCCCTGGAAACGGGACACGTTAGTTCGTCAGAAACTTGGTCCTAGAGAGTGGTACAGCTATGGAGCTTAGGTAAGAAAGGTTAGACACAGAGGCTCCACTGCACTGGCCTAGGCCAGGGGAGATAGCAGGAAAGGACAGAGGTGCCAGGGCCCGGAGGTGGAAGCACGTGGTGCTCAACTGTGCCTACTGTGCAAGGCAGCCTAACACTGACTCAACTTAGGTAGAATGACCCTTAGCATTCTATTCTTCCGCTGTCCAATTCAGATATCATTCTCCAGGATGCTTTCCCACCTCCACGTCTGCTTAGCTGTCCCCTCAAAGCACCCTGGAGTGCCCTATTGTAGCCTTAGCACTGCATTGTAGCACCTGTTTGTCAGCGGAGGCTCCCACTTGATTGCAAGCTTTGTGTGGGTGGTACTCATGCCTACCTTATGCACCGTATCCCAACCCTCTTGCCCAAAGCTTGTTGAATAAATAAATGTCAAGAGGCTTTGAGAAAGAAATTTGGCCTGTGAGGGGAAGCAGTGCTGCCTGAGGGGAAGAATGTAGTAGGCCTACGTTTAATGCTGTCTTTTTTTTTTCTCTTTAGGAAACAATCCAGATGAATTCAGTCTTTGATGGAGAAGCCGTAGACCCAGGTAAGGTAATGAAGCCAAAGTGCTACCCATTAGGAAGTGGTCTTTGCTGTTCATTTTCTAGGATGGTAGGGTCACAGAGGACCCTATCCAACTAACTGCTCTTAACTCAGTTTGTTAGTCAGCTTGGCTATATTGCATACACAGTGCTGGCAGCCACTTGGGCTGGATGGGAGGGCACCAATGGGGGGGTCACCTGAAATTCACCATCTTCCAGGGAAATGTGGGGAACTTAGAGGCTGTTATCTTGGCTTCGTGTCTTTGAGAGAAAAGTAAAAGAAGAAAGAAATGGGCCAACTGGACTAATGGGAACAAACATCCCAAGTTGAAATAGGAGGGGAGGCCTGCTATACACACAGCTGAGCTGTGGATGTTCAAAAACATGAGCATGTGTGAGGCTTCAGTGGGTTTCCACTTACCTCCCTTGCTAAATCATGAACAAATTTAGGGAGCTGGGAACACAAGAACCTGCGTTTTTTCTCCCCTGCTCACTGGAGTACCCAAGGCCACCTCTGAATGGTTCTAACACCACCCTATTGGTAGTGAGAGATATGGAGCAATAGCAAACTTGGCTTCTTTTATTCCCCCAGATCTCGGCCAAGAGTTTCGTCTTGGTCGGCAAGATGAACATAAGGTGAAGCTGGCTTCTGAGAGTTCCCATCACCCTTATGAAATCAGCTCCAAATTTAGCTCCTTTACACACATCCCTCTGCTTACAAAGGCTCAATTATAGATGTGAATAAAGGGAAGGAAACCAAATTCAGGAGGCAAGTGTGCTGGCTTCCTGCCACCCTCATATACAAAACGCTCCGGTCCTCCTCTGAAGGATGGCTCCTCTCCAGCGAGGCTTCTACTGCTGCTGCTGCTGCTGGAATTAAATTTCCCTCTATTATTAGGTACTTGTTACCATAATGTGCCCACATTAGCATAAGTGCTGGTGGGATCCACAGAGGAGAGGCCACTTGGGCTGGATAGGAGGGCACCAACAAGGGATCACCTGAAACTCACCATCTTCCAGGGAAATGTGGGGAACTGAGAGGCTGTTATTCTGGCTTCGTGTCTTTGTGAGAAAAGTAAAAGCAGAAAGAAATGGGCCAACTGGACTAATGTGAATAAACACACCAATTAGTGCCTGTTGGCTCCTACACAATAAAATGGCTCATCTCAAGTTGGGCCAGATTTGTGTGCCTGTGTCAACAAAACTCTGCTAACTCCACGTAAATAAAAACCAAGGTCTCTTTCTCCTTGCCTGGTGAGTTCCTTTTAAGAGCAGGGATTCAGGGGGCTTTTAAAACAAACAAAATAAATCAGAAAGTAGCTGGCCACCCTGTTAGAAACTGAGTCTAATTTATTCTAAGTGCACATGAATTTCAAGATTTAAATCTCCTTCCCATCTCCCTGCAGCAGAGATGGTCATGGGATTCTCCAAAACCTTCCTACCCAGAGAGGCGCGCTGTTTGCTGGTTGCTTTGCCTCAGTCGTCTTGTTTATGGAAAGGGCAGGCTGGTAAAGATTGTGCTGTTCACTAGCCTGCTTCATTTTTGCCTGGGAGAGGGAGTAGAGCAGGGCAGAGACGGGAGGGGGAGTATCACTAAATTGCCTGGTTTATGGTTGTGGGCTTTATTTTATTTTATTTTTTTCCCTAGTTACTGGGGAAATATATGAATTCAACTCAAAAACTGGAGCCAGGAAGTGGAAAGATCCATTGGTCCTAAGGTCAAAGTGGAAAGAATCCAACCTCCATGGAACTGCTCCATACAAAGTCACTGCTGGTGAGGTGACGGGGCCACTGAGAAGCACCAACAAGAAAGGAGATGGACTAAGTGGCAAAGGCCAGGGTGAGGATGCAGGTGTGGGTCCCAGAAAGGAGGATGGTAAGCCTGGCACCCCTCAGAACAGAAACCCAACCCTTACAAACATGGCTCCTCCTAAACTGTACCCAGGGAAGTAAATCGTGGATGGTGGCCTGGCCCACAGCACAGACAGAGGACGGGCCTTGACTATGAGGGTACGGGGTAGGTGTGAAAGTGTGCGCTGGGGGAACTCAGCTATTCTAAGTTCCAAGTGGGATATTTGATTACCCTTAAAGTGTGGTCACACGGCTGCCTGTTCCTGAGATGGCATGGTAGGAATTCCTCTCAGATCTCAGGACTAGCTGACTTTTGGATGCAGCATTGTGATGCTTTTCTGCACTGACTGCTAGGAAGCTCCATTCAGCTGACTTCCTGACATAAACACTGAGGCCTGTCCTCACTGCAGGTTTGGGAATGGTATCACCCAGATTTCTTCACTTGTACGTTCAATTCACCAACCTAAAACTGCTACCTTTTGTAAGTCAGTTCGAATCTTTTTTCAGAAGTAGCAAAGCAGTAAAAAAAAAGGATGAATAAATAATGATTTGTACATCTGGGAAGGAAAAATCCTAATAGATACTTTCTTTTTATTCTTTTTTATTGAGGTATAATTTATACTCAATAAAGTACACAGATCTAAGGTCTTCAGCTCAACAATACATACACTCCCCTCCAGAGGCATCCACTATTCTGATCTTTTTCATCATTGATTAGTTTTGCCTGTTTTGAATTTCATATAAATAGAATCTTACCGGATGTACTTTTGTGCCTGGCTTCTCTCATTCAGCATTACGTCTGTGAGACTCATGCATGGCATGTATAGCAGGAGTCCAGTCTTCTTCATTGTAATGTCTTCTTCCAAAGTATGAATGTACCATAATGGTGCTGTAGGATAAGCACTGGACTGCTAGCCACAAGGTTGGCAGTTCAAACCCACTAGTCACTCCTTAGAAACCCTATAAAAGCTCTTAACAACTGCAATCTATTCTGCATTTGGGTTATGAAGCCCTAGTGGTGCAATGGTTAAGCACTAGGCTGCTTATCAAAAGGTTGGTGATTCAAATTTCCTCAGCCATTCTGTGACAGAAAGATGTGGCAAACTGCTCCTACAGAAATGTTGTTGTTGTGGTTGTGGTTGTTGGGTGTTGTTGGGTCTGTTTTGACTCCTCATGACCCCATGTAATAGGATACTGCCCTATTGGGTATTCTTGGTAGTCATCTTTACAGATTCAGAAGCAGATCACTAGGTCATACCCTCACACAGTGACTAGGTTGGTTCAAACAGACCACCTTTTGGTTTGCAGCTGTCTTAGGCTGGATTCTATGTGTTGTTAAGTGCTGTCAAGTCAATTCTGACTCAGAGAGACCCTTGGTAGGGCTTTAGGGTTTCTAAGAAGCAGCTGGTGGGTTTGAACCACTGACCTGGTGGTTAGCAGTCTAGTGCTTAGCTACAATGCCACTACATACATATATATGTCTATATATCTATATCTAATCTATCTATCTATCTATCTATCTATCTATGAAGTCCACCACTCATATGTCAATGTATCATACTGTGGTGGCTTGTATGTATGTTGTTACGATGCTAGAAACGACATCACTGGTTTTTGAAAGGTAAGCAGGGTCACTCCTGGTGAATAGGTTTTAGTGGAGCTTCCAGACTAGACTAGGAATAAGGAGATATGGATTACTTCTAAGTGCTGAGCCACTGAAAGCATGATGAATAGCAGTGGAACATCGTCAGTGTGGTATCAGAAGATGAAGACATTCAATTATAACAACGATTGTGAGGATGGTGCGGAACCAGGTGGTGTTTTGTTCTATTATACGTAGGGTTGCTATGAGTTGGAACGAACTCGATGGCACCTAACAACAACAATATACAGAATCCTTGTGTATGCGCATATGTGGGGAACATGGTGACTCTGTAGGATAAACACTGGACTGAGAACTACAAGGTTGGTGGTTTGAGCCCACCAGCTGCACTTGGAAGAAACAGGAGGTTTTCTATGCCCACAAAGATTTATAACCTTGGAAACCCTGTATAGGGTTGCTATGAGTTGGAACTGACTCAATGGCACTTACTTAACAGCAACAACATTTGCTACTGCACTCCCCACATGCATCCACACACACATACACAGAGGTTTATCTCCAGGAAATGGCTCTCACAATTGTAGAGGCAGGCAAGTTCCAAGTCCGTGGGTCAGATCACCTGGAGGCTTCTCCTGACTCCCGTAGCTGCAGGAACTGAAGAACCCAAGGTTGGGCTGCAGAGGTGAATGGATCCAAGGTCAGCAGGTAAAATGGCAGACTACTGGCATGTCCCAACATCAGCAGGCAATACTGCAGTCCACTGGTTCAAGTCCAAAGAACCTGAGGTCAGATGAAGAGCTAGATTCAGGATCTAGAGCTAGCAGAAAGCAAGCAAGCTGTTTCCCAAGTGTCAATATATTGGAAGCAGGTCACATCCCCACATAAACTTCCTTTGAATTGATTGGCGGCTCATACCAGGTCTCATCATGGAGCTGATTTCATTATATTAGATCTCACCATGCGGGATTCCAACATTTTAACTGCCAAACCACTGAGAATCCTGGTCCTGCCGAGTTGATCCAAAATCTAAATTATCATAGCAGCCTAAATAAGTACTTAACCATTGTGCCATCAGAGGGGCTCCCCCCCATAAAGATTACAGCATAGAAAACTCTATGGGGTAGTTCTACTTTGATACATGGGGCCACTCTGAGTTAAAACTTGACCCAATGTCACTTAACAACACACTTAAGTTGTTTCAAGTTTCTTATGAATTATACCTTATGTAATTTTGCACTCATATTTTGGTAAACATAAACTCTCATTTCTTCTGAACCTATACCAAGGAGTAGAATTGCTTAAGACTTCCTAAGTGGTGGGTCAGTTCACACTTTCACCAGCAATGATGAGAGTTCCAATTGTTCTCAATCTTTGCCAATGCTTGGCTTGTCTGTCCTTTTAGCCATTCTAGTGAGGGACATTGCCCTTTTCATGAAAGCTAAAATAACATCAACTTTTCAACTCCCCTGCTCTACCCCTATCCCTACTTCCTGTGAGTAGCGGAATCACAGGACCTGAGTGGAGACCCAGAACTTCCACCTGCTGGTGTGAGCAGTGAATAGAAAATAAACACAGCAACAAACTAGGAAATACAAGCTTTCTAATGTCTGCCCAGCTTCCGCCCTATGTCTTGCTCCCCAACTATGGACCTAGTCTGCATTACTTTTCTAGGCCTGATGTAACAAACTATTAGAAACTAGGTGCTTTGAAACAACAGAGGCAAATTCTCTCACAGTTCTGCCAGCTGGAAATCTGAAATCAAGATATTGACAGCTCATGCTCGCTTCGAAGGCTCTGGGGGGT